TAAAGTAAGCCGGCATATTGGCATATCGACCCTTTCAGACAGAAACCCATACCAGCGTGCTTTACCGCAAAATTGCGGTATTAAAGCTCTGTCTGAAAGGGGCTTTAGACATGAAAATATTGGGTTTAGTTTATCGGCGTTGGCTTTTGTTCCCAACTTGAAGTTTTACATGGCTCGGTCAGTCTCGCGCGCACTTGCGTTTCCACTTGGGTGATGTTCACATGCAACAGATGAAAGAGCGTAAAGCCAACTTTTAAGAAAGTACCAGTGATGTGAGTAGGCTAAAGTTAATGTCCAAATTACTCCAGTATTGTTTTCTGATAATGTATTTTATCTGTGTGGCATAACCACTGGCATCAGCGGCGTAGCGGGTTGGTGACGGGCCCCGGTGCAAGATAATTGCCAGGCCCTAAAAGACACCTGATTGGATTTGAGTCAAGAGCCTTGGTGGTGTCTACTTAGGCCAAAACTCTTAATGCTCATACGTTCTGAAATTGTTTAAAGCAGATACAGCATTGTAATGAGCATAATTTTCTATGAAATATTCAAAAACATATTCAGGGATATTGAGAACAAAATATAGTAAAGTTTCATGAGTCTGCGATGAAGTATAATATTGACAACAATTGAACAATCAATGACCTGATTTCAGTGAAGTAAAACGTATCCATGAAGTACGATGACCTGATTCAAAGACGTGCTTAATATAGTTGAACCAACTTAAAATATTAAACAAAAACATGCGTGCCAATATTTCAATTGCTTGAAATATGCTTTCAAAAAGTATTTTGTCATATGTAAGCAAGTTTTTATTCTGAATGGCCAGTCAATCTTGCAACATGCATATAAAAACAAAAACCATAAACAAAGAGCACTTTGGCATGCTCTGAAAGGGCTGAAAAAGTTGGCACAGAGGAGCAACAACGTAGTGCATCATACCGTGGTATGAAGCATACTAATATGATGGTAAAAAATAACCTTGATTGTGTTCAACAGTTAAAAAGCTGTTCATGGCATGTTTTTTTTTTTTTTTAATAAAAAGTCATTTTACCCCAATAGCCCCAGACCCCAGTGTTTTGCACTGGCTGCACTGCCTATGCCACTGACGAGCATAATAGATGCTCTCCATATGTCAAAATCAAAAAGGATGATTCAACTATGTCGGTATACGTTTAAGTAATGGCTTAGAATATTAGTATATGGTGTCGGAAGTGGTCCCCTGGCCCAGTTTGCGTAACAATGATTTACATGTCCTTAACTATTAGGCCTATATCTACAGTAATGAAATACTACTATTGCCTACTGGGGGTCATAGAGATATCCCAATAATTTGACGTACAGTATGTTTGAACCCATTGCGTTTTATTTAGTAAAACCAGTAAATTCTGCCAGCAGATCTCTTTGTATTTATGCTTATTACTCTGGCTAATAAATTCTATCATGAGCTCATTAACAGCTAGAGTTAAAAAAGTATATTCCTTAGTTTGTTTTCTTTTTTTTTTTTTTTTTTTTTTTTTTTTTTTAATTTATTTTTTTTTTTTTTTTTTTTTTTTTTTTTTTTTTTTTTTTTTTTTTTTTTTTTTTTTTTTTTTTTTTTCTTTTTTCGACGTTCATTTTGTTTCTTCTTTCTTTGTCTCTTCATCTTTTTTGTTTCTTTTATTCAACTTCTACCACATTTGTTGTAAGCGAAGCACATGAGACTAGTATTATTTTACCAGTACAACGTTTTTAATGAAACTAAAAACTATAGCAAGTATTCTGTGGATTGTAAAAGCCGGTAGATGATCTGACAGCGTTCAGCTGACTATACGAAGTGAAATCATCCATAAAACATTTTACCATCCTTGATGCACTTGCATAATCCTGAATACTGTAGATTTTTAGTTATTTCATAGGCTGTGTTTCTATACAAATTCAGTTATTCCAGGTATATAATATAAACCTGATTATACTGTCGTATAAGGCCTAAAAATAATAAATTATTTGCTTGCCCTTTAATGCTGAAAATTGTATAGGAGGGGGCGGGTGCAAAGAAGTTTTTTTGGTTTTTTTTAGTTTTTTTTTCTCCTATCACCAAAATTAATATATTAAATTGCAGTGCTTTCAGTTAAGCCTGTCTCACTATTTGTTTTTCAGAGGGTATTCATCAGACTGAATAAAAATAACCCATAATCAATATTTAACAATGAATATAGGCTTAGAATGGCGATACCTTACGTCACGCACCAAATTTAAACAACTTTCATGTGCAAAATGGAGAAATAAAGATCACTTTTAAAAATTTGTGAACAAAATACCGAAAAATAACAAGCTTTTTTCAAAAACGCTGCCCCTATTTTTCCGTGAGCTAGGGGTGGGCGCTGGAGGGCAAACAAACAATTCATTTTTTTAGGGCTAATTATTGTAGGCTACATCAGAGTAATGTATTGACCTTGATATATTGTCAATTTCTCTTTCCATTTGTAAAATAGTTTATTTACCTTTAGAATGGTGGCACACACAACTCGTGTGGTGCGGCTGGATAACAATAAGAACTAGAATACAAAGAAAAGAAAAACAAAAACAACAACTAAATCATATAAAGAAAAAGCACAACAAATTAACCAGCAATTTAAATAAAGCCTACAGCTTAACTCAAAGGTTTTAACAATACAATTTGAGATTGTAAACTAAAGGAACAGAATCGTAATGTAAAGTTAAAATCCAAATAAAACAAGGGGAGAACTAACTAAAATTTTTTGAATCTTGTAAAACAAGATGAAAATAGTATAGTATTTATCCAACTTCTTTTACACTGCTAGTTTTTCCTCCTCATCTTCTTCATGGCTTGATGTCATCAACGTTGTCATGTTCATTAACTGTCATCTCTACCACTCCCTCATAATATTAGAGATGAAATACGGAAACCATGTTTTTAATCAGTAAATGGACCTTTCCGGAGAGTCGTAAAACTTAAAAACTGACCAATTAGAACAGGGCCAGGAAGTGTTGTCCCGCAAATGTATGTACACCATTGTTTTGTGGGGCCTTAGCAACAATAACCAAGCGACAGCTCAGCAGAATGGTCCATTTTAATCACACACTGTAAATGTACCACATTATACGTTATGCTCCTTCTCTGCTTTAAGTTTTATGTGTTTGAAAAAATGAAATATATAAGTACAGCTATTAAAAATTCATCTCCCAACAATAATAAAGATCTAAACAATACCAGGCCAGCATCAACAGGCAAACGAAAAATATTTATATTTTATAAACAACAATAAAGTACAGTACTACTAAATAACATTATTAGTCAGTGCCATAAATTATTTATTTCAATATGGCTTTAATATAGAAATAATTTGGAAAAGAAAAACATTTCTGTAAAATGTTTCCTAAAAGATGTGCAACTGAGTTTACTGTAAATGAAACAAATTAATTTTTAAAGTACATTTTGTACTTTCGCACCAAAAGCGGTATAGTACGTAAATACCAGAAACTTTTGAACGTGCATGTTTGTAAATGAATTCAAAGAATATATTCACAAGGCTGTTAAATACGAAACAAATAATGAAAATTGAGTACCAGTAATAAATCATCTGTTTTGCAGTGAAGCAGATCCGAAATGTTTTGTTAAGTCGTGCGCCGATACCAAACAAGTTTAACAATATAGTTGTTCAACAAAAGTTCATCTTGCTTTGAGTTGGTAAAGTATGGTACATAGGCGTAAATACAAGACAAACAACATTTAGATCAGTGTTACGCAATGTGGTCCGTAGACCGCTTTGTGGTCTGCTAAAAATTATTGGTGGTCTGTTAAGGGCTAAAGGTCCGTGTGTGGTCTGCGAAAAATTTAAAAGTGGTCCTCCAAAAGTTAAGTGGTCCGATGTATATTGCTGATAAAACCACTAAAAACAACATACTTTTTTAATTTGACATTCCTTTCACACTTTAGCCCCTTTCAGATAGACGTTGCCACAATATTCTGCCAGCAGATCTCTTTGTATTTATGCTTATTACTCTGGCTAATAAATTCTATCATGAGCTCATTAACAGCTAGAGTTAAAAAAGTATATTCCTTAGTTTGTTTTCTTTTTTTTTTTTTTTTTTTTTTTTTTTTTTTTTTTTTTTTTTTTTTTTTTTTTTTTTTTTTTTTTTTCTTTCAAAAAGTATTTTGTCATATGTAAGCAAGTTTTTATTCTGAATGGCCAGTCAATCTTGCAACATGCATGTAAAAACAAAAACCATAAACAAAGAGCACTTTGGCATGCTCTGAAAGGGCTGAAAAAGTTGGCACAGAGGAGCAACAACGTAGTGCATCATACCGTGGTATGAAGCATACGTAATATGATGGTAAAAAATAACCTTGATTGTGTTCAACAGTTACAAAGCTGTTCATGGCATGTTTTTATTTTTTTTTATTTTTATAAAAAGTCATTCTACCCCAATATCCCCAGACCCCAGTGTTTTGCACTGGCTGCACTGCCTATGCCACTGACTAGCATAATAGATGCTCTCCGTATGTCAAAATCAAAAAGGATGATACGACTATGTCGGTATAGGTTTAAGTAATGACTTAGAATATTAGTATATGGTGTAGGAAGTGGTCCCCTGGCCCAGTTTGCGTAACAATGATTTAGATGTCTTTAACTACTGTCTCTTATACACATCTAGATGTGTTAAATACTACTGCGCAATTGTTTTCAACTTTAACCTTGTTTGTTTATGCATAAATGCACACGCTGGCTTGATTGCCGCAATATAGAGTATAGAATAGAATAGAAATCTTTCTTTATTCTGGATACTCAGTCAGTATTAGTACACTGTTCTTCCCTGAGGTCCAGGGTATGATCTTAAACTACTTTAAATTAAAAACAGAATTGATAAAGAAATATATAAGTTACATAAATATAAGAAGCAGAGAAAAGATTGGTAAATTAAATTAGATTTTTAAAGGATTGTAGACTGTTTCAGACAAAGCAAGCCAGTAACCGTTACCGCAATATTACTAGGGTACGATGTGGCTTAAAGTAAGCCGGCATATTGGCATATCGACCCTTTCAGACAGAAACCCATACCAGCGTGCTTTACCGCAAAATTGCGGTATTGAAGCTCTGTCTGAAAGGGGCTTTAGACATGAAAATATTGGGTTTAGTTTATCGGCGTTGGCTTTTGTTCCCAACTTGAAGTTTTACATGGCTTGGTCAGTCTCGTGCGCACTCGCGTTTCCACTTGGTGATGTTCACATGCAACAGATGAAAGAGCGTAAAGCCAACTTTTAAGAAAGTACCACTGGCATCAGCGGCGTAGCGGGTTGGTAACGGGCCCCGGGTGCAAGATAATTGCCGGGCCCTAAAAGACACCTGATTGGATTTGAGTCAAGAGCCTTGGTGGGGTCTACTTAGGCCAAAACTCTTAATGCTCATACGTTCTGAAATTGTTTAAAGTTGATACAGCATTGTAATGAGCATATTTTACTATGAAATATTCAAAAACACATTCGGGGATATTGAGAACAAAATATTGTAAAGTTTCATGAGTCTGCGATAAAGTAATAATATTGACATCAATTGAACAATCAATGACCTGATTTCAGTGAAGTAAAACGTATCCATGAAGTACGATGACCTGATTCAAAGTTGTGCTTAATATAGTTGAACCAACTTTAAAATATTAAACAAAAACATGCGTGCCAATATTTCAATTGCTTGAAATATGCTTTCAAAAAGTATTTTGTCATATGTAAGCAAGTTTTTATTCTGAATGGCCAGTCAATCTTGCAACATGCATGTAAAAACAAAAACCATAAACAAAAAGCACTTTGGCATGCACTGAAAGGGCTGAAAAAGTTGGCACAGAGGAGCAACAACGTAGTGCATCATACCGTGGTATGAAGCATACGTAATATGATGGTAAAAAATAACCTTGATTGTGTTCAACAGTTACAAAGCTGTTCATGGCATGTTTTTATTTTTTTTTATTTTTATAAAAAGTCATTCTACCCCAATATCCCCAGACCCCAGTGTTTTGCACTGGCTGCACTGCCTATGCCACTGACTAGCATAATAGATGCTCTCCGTATGTCAAAATCAAAAAGGATGATACGACTATGTCGGTATAGGTTTAAGTAATGACTTAGAATATTAGTATATGGTGTAGGAAGTGGTCCCCTGGCCCAGTTTGCGTAACAATGATTTAGATGTCTTTAACTATTAGGCCTATATCTACAGTAATGAAATACTACTATTGCTTACTGGGGGTCATAATAGAGATATCCCAATAATTTGACATACAGTATGTTTGAACCCATTGCATTTTATTTAGTAAAACCACTAAATTCTGCCAGCAGATCTCTTTGTATTTATGCTTATTACTCTGGCTAATAAATTCTATCATGAACTTTTAACTCATTATCAGCTAGAGTTAAAAAAGTATATTCCTTAGTTTGTTTTCTTTTTTTTTTTTTTTTTTTATTTTTTTTTGGATTTTTTTTTTTTTTTTTTTTTTTTTTTTTTTTTTTGGTTTTTTTTTTTTGACGTTCATTTTGTTTCTTCTTTCTTTGTCTCTTCATATTTTTTGTTTCTTTTATTCAACTTTTACCACATTTGTTGTAAGCGAAGCACATGAGACTAGTATTATTTTACCAGTACAACATTTTTAATGAAACTAAAAACTATAGCAAGTATTCTGTGGATTGTAAAAGCCGGTAGATGATCAAACAGCTGGAGGGCAAACAAACAATTCATTTTTTTAGGGCTAATTATTGAATTCTACATCAGAGTAATGTATTGACCTTGATATATTGTCAATTTCTCTTTCCATTCTTAAATAGTTTATTTACCTTTAGAATGGTGGCACACACAACTCGTGTGGTGCGGCTGGATAACAATAAGAACTAGAATACAAAGAAAAGAAAAACAAAAACAACAACTAAATCATATAAAGAAAAAGCACAACAAATTAACCAGCAATTTAAATAAAGCCTACAGCTTAACTCAAAGGTTTTAACAATACAATTTGAGATTGTAAAATAAAGGAACAGAATCGTAATGTAAAATTAAAATCCAAATAAAACAAGAGAACTAACTAAAATTTTTAAAATCTTGTAAAACAAGATGAAAATAGTATAGTATTTATCCAACTTCTTTTACACTGCTAGTTTTTCCTCCTCATCTTCTTCATGGCTTGATGTCATCAACGTTGTCATGTTCATTAACTGTCATCTCTACCACTCCCTCACAATATTAGAGATGAAATACGGAAACCATGTTTTTAATCAGTAAATGGACCTTTCCGGAGAGTCGTCAAACTTAAAAACTGACCAATTAGAACAGGGCCAGGAAGTGTTGTCCCGCAAATATATGTACACCATTGTTTTGTGGGGCCTTAGCAACAATAACCAAGCAACAGCTCAGCAGAATGGTTCATTTTAATCACACACTGTAAATGTACCACATTATACGTTATGCTCCTTCTCTGCTTTAAGTTTTGTGTGTTTGAAAAAATGTTGTTGAAACAAATGCTTTTAAAAATCTTGTGTAAAAGAAACTGAATTTTTTCTGACAGTAGACAATATCTGTCCGTATCTTTTACGTGACTTTTACATGTCAATAACATCTGTGGCTTGTAGCAGAAGCCTAGTTTTAGGTTTCTTGTGCACATGATTCTCAGAATAATAATCAACGAAGTGAATTGAATAAAAGATGTTCCTGCGTGTGTGACTACAATATTAATAATCTTTATGTTGTTGCATCTTGTAGACTTACAGTGAATGGATGAATCATACTGTAGTAGGCCTATAATTAAAACATAGTTATATATTTTATGGTACAGTATTATACTTTTGGGTTTATAATTTAGGATTTAGTAAAAGAAATTTTTACTCTCCCTCTACTATCTCTCTGATATCATTTAGAAATTGTTAGTTCATATTTTATTTACATGCAATAGCATGCCCCAGACATACATCTGACCTTGAGATGCTCAGGCAACATTAAAATGATATCTAACCTCATAAATTAATATTTGCGTTAAACATCTCTTTCGTGATTCTCGTCTGCACCTGTTGAAGGCCAGGAACGTTGGTATCCTAGCCTAATACCATGTTTACAATCATTTACATAATGATTCACGACATTCATGTTCGCTGTCGTTGATAAATGTGCATGGTTCATGTTTTGCTGTCATCACATTCGCCAATATTAATCAGCAAGCATTCTTCGAGGCATAGTTGCTCAGATACTTAAATGTGATTGGTTGGTTGGGCAATCGGGATTGATACCATGTGTGTCCCGCTGTCACTTGTATGCACTGATGGATGTCTTTATTATTTTTAATGATTTCTGTGCATTTATGTGATTTGAATTGCTTTGAATTATCTATTACACATCTATTACACATCTATTATTGACTTTGTGTGGAGTTGTTTTGTAATGAATTACGATGGAATACAGGCATTGCTATATCAATTGTATTAGAGGTCCTTATTTTAATTTGGCAAAAGCTGTAACACAGAAGATAATGATACTTTTTCTTCTACTTTTATATTCTCTTTTTTTGTTGAAGCAGTTTTCTTATTGCCAGAAGGTACTGTATTGGATTAATGATCTAAAGTTGTATGTGATGGTGTGAATGAACATTACTTTTGGTGTTTACTTTTTCAACTTTTTCCCATATTCATATTTTTTTACTTTCTGTTCTGTATCTCTTGATATTTTTAATTTTTTCTTTTCTGCATTACTGATGTTTATTTTGATGTTCAAGTTTTATATTGTTGTAAAGGGGAAAATGTAAATGTTTGCATTGTTTAGGGACAGAAGAGGGAAGAAGGGTACTTAGTCTTTTGTATTGTTTTTGAAAATAAGGGGTGAAGTTTAGTACAGTTTTATTTAGTGGGGATGGATAAAATTTGAATTATCAGGTAAGGAGTGAAAGGAATACAGGATTAATTTAAGCTGTTTTGAGTTGGTTTATATTTTAGTTTTCCTTTTTAATTTGATTTGGCCTATTTTGTAATCATTTTTGTTTCGGACACACCTTTATTTACCTTTGTTTTTCAAAGTGTGCCAATGATGTAAAAGTGTAGGCCTACGTCCAAATAAATATTATTAGTATATTGTTATAAAGTCATGTATTATTTTTTTAATGTGGTACAAAGAGGCTTTGATGGTCAGATCCAGTGTCATTTGCAGTGCAGTGACACTTAAATAAGATCAAATTAAAGTAATAAGGACATTTCACAAGTAAAAAGCTTGAATAATGGAAATGCTAGCATTGAAATATTTGTAAGAAAAGATTCTTTGAATTTCAGTTAATTTAATTAATGTGTTTGGTATCAAGGTTAAATCAGGTTTTACAGATTTTCAAAAAGAAAAACCACAAATAATCACAGTGGCTCTACCTTCAAAAGATTTTTGTTTAAATTATACTTTTTTTTGTGGCTATTTTTAGTTGGTAGTGCAACCGAAGAGTAATAAGTCTTCGGGGGTGGGTGTGGAATAAAAAAGAACAGGTGCTCCAGGGCCTGGGCCCAAAGCACTTGTGTAAAATATATTTTCCTCATTTGAAAGATACAAGTAGTTGTTAACTACAAATGGAACATAGTATGGAACAAGTAAGTGTTTTGCAAATTTACAGACACTTACCTAAAGCTACAACAAGCCTTTGATTGCCTACCAATTAGATCTTTGTAAAGAATGATTTATTCATCTGTTGATTGGGTTGAATATATTTTCTAATTGAAAAAGCAAATTAATAGGTATACAAAATAAGCAATTCTAACACGATTAGAAAGTTTTTATGTGGACCTGCAGTAATATTTGGTAATGAATTTTGTTTGGTAACATCCAGCTGTTGTAAACTTGGCAGCTTCTGCCAAACTGATAGGTCGTTACTAAGGTCAAAGAGCAATTGAATATCATATATCAGATTATTATGTTCCTAAGACATGTTTTCTATGGTGTTTATCTGAGGCCTGTACATGACTGTATGTGCTATATATAACTGACACATATTTTTTATCAACTCTCTCACTACAGTTTATGAATTGCTTGAATGGATCTTAATAAAATTTTGTGGAGCAGTAGATATTTTGTGGGATGAAAATGGTCTGGTGGTGATATGCACTATCTACTGCTTATTAGTCATTTTATTAGAACTTTGATATAAAATAATTATTAATGTTTTATCATCATTTACATTACATATTTCATTATGACTTACACAATTAAAATATACATATTATTCAAATAAGTTTGTTGATGATA